AAACCTTTTTCAAGAGAGCTTAGATTTAGGTAATCGGTCAACAGACGAAGATCCCTGAGAATGACAAGGCATTCTTAGAGTTTGCATTGAGGTGTTGAAGTTAGTTTTTCTTGTGTTTCCTAAGGAAGAGATACCACACAAGTAAGAGCTTCCAGTTTGTTGGTTCATGTAAAATCTTCAAGTGTTTACAAGACAGATTATAACACCAGAAATGATTACTTGGCAAACAGCTTCGAGACTAAATTCGGTAAGAAGGACAAATTCCAGACAAGCTCATTTACGCACATGCGGGTTTGCTCTCACACTCCGGATGCCCATCCCAGGATAGAACAGATCTAAACCTCTAGGGCCTCTCCACAAACCCACTCACTTTGGGATGGCTGGGGCAGCATCTGGGCTGGAGCAACCCAAGGCAGCACCAGAACAAAGATGTACTGGTGACGAACGTGGTAAGATTTGATTATGGGTACTATTCAAACTCAGCAGCTGCAGATGAATAGGGTTGCATGGTTTGAATGAACAGAAAACATGCAATTGTTCCTTTTGCATGGATGGCAGTCAGAGACACATTTAGGGTTTCTGGGAGGGGCATTTTCAAACTCTTCATGTTCTTTTATTTTCTTTTTTAGTTAAAAGGGATGTGCTTACTTTCTCAGCTATAATGAATGGCATCTGCCAGCATGAGAGTCAAGAAACTCACGGGAGACAAAACACTCTTCCCTGGACTGCTCCTAGGGAGCTTCAGGGCTTCCAGACCACATAATGTCACAGAGTTATTTGTAATGCTTAGGGATTGAGAAATAAAGTGCACATGGTAAGAGCTGCCTCTAGAGGGTTCTCCCTGCAAAATGAGCTGCAAGGCTTGGGGAGTGGTGGTGGTGGTTTCCGGCCATTAGCATCACTAATCAAGGCCAGCTTCGCTTTTTATGGGAATCGACAGAGCGATTGATGATACAGGCTCTGTTCGCTCAAGCCATCCTGCCTGGCTTCTCTGTATCACAGTCACACTAAGACAAAAGTTCACTTTAATTATCTGTGATTGGGATACTTCATTATTTTTATATATCCTGGGGGTAAAAGGTACCACGAAGGTACCTTGTGTAAGGTCCAAAGGTCTCCAAAGACGTTTTCATTATTTCGTGCTCAGATAAAGCAATTACTGTCGGCTCACAATTAACCTTGTTCCCGCAGGAAGCATCAATGTAAAACCTAGAGATCCTGGATAGGCTCTATGGGTCTTTCCCTCTACTTTGGTTGTAGCAGGAGAGAGTTGGGGAGGGGGGACAGGGTGAGACAGAGAAAGAGACAGAAAGAGAGAGGGAGACAACATGGACCAAGAAAAACTCTGGCCAAGAAACTTTTCAGAACAGTCTGAGAAGATGTCATCTAGTTCACTACCCTGTTCCTGTGTTCTTTGCCTATAACATGTAGCAAGGAAATATGGCTTTCCCAGTAACAAACTGACAAAGAGAAAGTGTGACATAAAGGGAGCTGGTATAAAGCAGCATGGACAACTCTGCAAGGCTGGCAGTCACCTTGTAAGCAGGTAACAGAGCCAAGGACACCTCTGAGGACCCTAGGGGGTTCAAAGTCCAGCCTCTGCATATTCCACCTTAGGAGGCTCAGACCATGCCAGTGCTCCCCCGCCATGAGATAGTATTGGGATATTTTGCTCAGTGAGGTACTGTATAAGCCAAAATAGTAAAAGCTCGTGCTTTAAATACTATCCTTCATCACTTGACCTGTTAAGCATCTTTTACTACAGGCTGCTGCTGGTGTTATAACTGTATCCGTAAGATGCTAGGCACTAATGGTATCCCTTTCTACTGTTTCTACTGTCTTTGACTGTCCAGGTGAGACAACACCCCACAGGTCAGGAGCCTAGGGGAGAGTAACACATCTCTCCCAGGGATTTCTCAGAACATTGCTGCAAGAAGGAAAAGAAGAACCAAACACTGAGGAAAGACTTAAGTGATAGGAACACAGCTTTAGTAGGGTTCTAGGCCCTTTGAAGAAGAGGAGCAAAATGGAGAAAGTTACAGACAAATAGAGAAGTCTCTGAAGTCATAGCAAATACACAGGGCACTGAGAAAAACTGGAGAAGTGACCTCAGGAAAGGAGAGGTGAAAGCAAATGACAGAGTCAAGTGTTTGAGTAAAGATTTATTTTGAGCTAAAATGATGACAGCACTAAATCTCCACCATCTGGAAATATACCACACAATAAATCAGTGGGGTCTTAGAATAATCCATCTCTTAGGTGCTGTTTTCTTTTTTGATTTTTTTAACTCAAAATGATTCCTTTTCCCAGCACTGGCGTGAGGACAGCGGTAGGGCTTGGGTGAAGAGATACAAAGCCAATGACAGAGCACAGAGAGGGGAGACGGTGTGAACATCATATCAGTTTTAGAGAATACCAACAAAGACTTTTGCCAACATGGGGGAGAGATAAGGAAGCAGGGGAGAGGAGAGAGAACAAAACATACCGAGGCATTTTTAAAATACGGAAAAAATGGAATTGGGAAGTGACTCTGTAAGGGGACCGGGAAAACTGGAGACAGTAACCACTGGGGGTCCACACCAACAGGAAAGAAAGCTATATAAACTGGAGACAGTAACCACTGGGGGTCCACACCAACAGGAGAGAGCTATATAAACTGGAGACAGTATTAACTGGCGTCCATACCTACAGGAGAGAGCTATGTAAGCCCTGGCTCTATTGCTCACTCTTCTCTGAGTCCACAGAGCCCTAATCTCTTCCTACTCATCAGGAAGTACAGTGGGTACCCAGCACAGGGAAAAGACAGGGCCAACTGTCCCTAAATGACCAACCTGAAAGGGAAGGGGCATGCTCAGGCTGGGAAAGTGCAATGTGTGACCTTAGGTGGATGCAGATGGCTAAGGTGAAAAGTGCTGCTCCTCTCCCCTAAACCACGAGACAATTCCACACACAGACACTGGGTTTCAAGGCAGAAAGCGCATGTCTTTACATTCTAGCATGGGAATTTTCTTTTATGCGATTCATAGAAAGCAGATGAATTTACGTTCTGAGACAAGATTTTACTATGCAACCCACAATGGCCTAAAGCAATAATCCTCCCGCCCCAGCCTCCAGATTACTCTGATTACAAGTTTGCTCTAGCACAATGGCTAAGTATTTGAACTGTATAAAGGAAAATAAAAGAATTCATACAGACAGACACACAGACGGACAGACGGACAGACAGATGGATAGATGGATAGACAGATATCATGCAAAACATTTAAATAAGATTTGAGAGGTCTGTTGGACAGTTTCCATCTGAGCATTCACGCATTTAGAACTCAGAAGAAAAGAAGAACGAATAGGTTTATGACTGGATTCTTCTGACCCTTGTATTATTCTCAAGAGCACAGGGCTACTTCATCCATGAGAACACAATTCAGCACACAGAAATTGTCAGCTCCATGGTAAGAACATGGAAGTCTCTGCCAAGACTAACTTGGCCAATAAGAAAAAGGGCCAAAAGTAGGATTTAAAGAACTTTCTGAGTCCTCTCGTGCTGAATTTGGACTCAGTCTATGTGCTAGCCATGACCTTGGAAGTTCTGTTTGCTCCTGCCAGGATCAGGGAGCAAACAAAAGGTCACAAACTGTACTACGTAAGGTAGTTTTAACTTGTTCTCACATTCTGCGATACACAAAAATCCCCTCATTCTTCAGCTACACATAAGTTATAAGTCTATGGTGTCTTGTGGGGCCTGTAAAGAAACATGGTTTGTGTGCAGACAATGGAAAATTAAGAGACTTGTGAAGGAAGCTGAGCGATGGAGGGAACCTAGCTGAAAAGAGAAAATCAATGGAGCCAGACAGACCCAAACACCGAGCAGCATTTTTAAGTAATTCCAGCTAATGGTGTAGTTGGTGGAGAAAAATGCTAACTAATGTTGATTTCCTCTTAAGTCCAAAGTACTAAAACAATTGACCCAGTGGGCTTATTATTTAAATTTTAGGCTACTCAAAAAAATGTTTGGGACTGAACCATGTGCTCTGTGTGTGTGTACACGCACGCGTGCAAGATTACAAGTGCAAATCACCACGCCCTATTGGGTTTGGGTTTTGTTTTGTTTTTGTTGTTGTCATTTTTCTTTCCTTTCTTTCTTTCTTTCTTTCTTTCTTTCTTTCTTTCTTTCTTTCTTTCTTTCTTTTTTTCATGGCAAATAGTTCACCAACTGATAAATCTCAGGCCCCAGACACTGGTCTTAATTTCCCCAGAATCTCAGAACATGGCAGTAGGTGAGGGTAAATGCAGCCACTGGAGAGTTCTGGTGGACATAATGGATTTCCTAATAAGGAGAGGGAATCAAAACCCAGACTGGCACGGGGGCGGGGGGAAGAGAATGCAATGGTGTGAAGGCTCTTGAAGCCAAAGACACAGGCATCAAAACAACCAACTCTAGGATTTCGTGACCTCAGACATCCAGTCTCCAGCACCACAGGGGAATAAAATGTCTATAGCGCTGGCAGTATTAGAAAGCAAACACAGAAATCTTGAGTCAACATAAAGCTCAGTCACATGAGCCCTTGAGGCCCTAGGTTCTGTTCCTAGTACATGAGCCCACAGTGTCCTGGGTTCTCATCCTAGTACCAGCCAATGGAAGAGCTCATCTATGAAAGTCCTCATTTTTATCGTGTGTGTGTGTGTGTGTGTGTGTGTGTGTGTGTGTGTGTGTGTGTG